CAAGGCAGTAATATTTAGGCTAATCTGAGTTCTATTGAGGCTAACTGGAGCCATTTGGCCATTTCGTTGCTTAAAAACGCCCTGAAATTTAACTGATAACTGAGTTCCCACCATTTCATCTAGACCGTCTTAAAAAAAAATTGTGGCTTGGTAAATATTGACAGAATTTCATTTCTAGTGTCAAGCACTTTTATAGACCATGGGAACTGCGTCATAACATTAGTTTTTAAAACGCAAGTACAACCGCTAGACTCAGGCCCATAATACCCTTCTCCGTTGACATTTAATTAATTTTACTTCAATATAAAACATGATTAATTCAATCCACCATTTGGATTACACTACATTGTTATGTCCTTAGCAAATAACATAAATCAAGATAAGATTCCAGAACGGTAAAAAAGAAAAACTATGAAAGAACATATTAACATTGCGAAGTTACTTACGAAAATAATATCAAAGTAACACATAGCAAAGGAGCAAAACAATTATGTCAGAAAATTTCAATTTTCGGTACACTTGCACAGTTGACACAGTTGACGGTTTGTTGTCACATATTAAAAATGCCCCTTAAAGACAAGCCATCGCCAAAAGAAGACAGGGAATGGTATTTATGTAATTTCTTGTGTTGTAGTGTAAAAAGGAAAAATGCAACTAATTATTTACTCACTTGTACAGTCTGGAAAACGATTGGTTGGCATCCAAGTTCCTCTTGCTCCGCAAACCCACATAGTCGCAGGTAAAGGTTGGGCAAAGTCCGATTTGTTGCTGCAAAAAGGTGAACAGAACGTTCCAAACATCCAATCGTCACAAGCCTTTGCGCCCCCTTTGGGAGGAGGCAGGTCACTGCACTTCGTCGCTGTACGAGTAAAGAAAATTAAATTTTTCCAACAATTATTGTTATTGTTCTTCTTCATTCTTTCTGACCGGTTACTTTCAAAAGTACTTTTCAACATTGATTGTTAGTTTTGTTAAAAATACAAAGAACCGCTGATAATAATTTTGTTCATTACAATGTCGTCATCAACACAATATCTTCTGCATAGTGAGATACAGGCAATTAGGGGTTAAACTGATGGTATTCCGAAGAGGTCACCGTAGTTTATCAAGTATTAGCACATAATAGGAGTAAAACAGTACGCGACAAAGAGGAAGTCGACATTAAATTTAACACCAAAGAGTTTGGCTAGTTCAAGGTACTGAGCGGTAGTTGCATGTGGCACGGGACGTTTATACAACTTTCAGATGCTTGCCCTTTTCTATTTTTTCAAAATTGGGTCTTCAAATATCTTAGGTTAGTCTACCTGATGCTTACGTTTAACCGTTATAGTAAACTGGCAAACAGCTGGGTCGTTATCTGGATTATCATCGTAAGCTGTGCAATGCACATTCCATGTCCCCCAGTAAAACTCAGTCCCACTTTGATGACTGCATGTTATCACCAATGGACTATTGCTGTTGTCTTTAAACTGAGGTTCGTTCCACGTAACTGTTGTTGTCATCTTCGTAGCAGTAATTTTCTGGTCTGCGGGGCAATATACAACCTGAGGGCCTAAATTATCTACGATGAAAATATATAAAGGGTTTGTGTCAAGAAAAGACTCTATCCTCGGAGCAGATTCTATTACATTGACATAGCTCTACCGGCCATTTTGGCGATAATTCTTACACCACACAATGACAAGAGAGAAAGAGCGGAGAGTGATCGGTCTTCACTCTTAGACCGAGGTGAGATTGTTGGCAGCTGACAGAGTGCTGGACTATAATTTCCTAGCCTTTTACTCAGACATTATATGAGTAAGGAATCATGTCAGCAATATAAAAAACAGTTCGGAAATCAATTTGGCATAATTCGCCATACACGTGGCAAAATCTCTTTCGGACTCACCTTCCAAAACTACTTTAAACGAACACTCTTTCTTGTTCCCACTTGCATCTCTTGCAGTGTAAACAACAAGAGTAGTTTTATTGAAGACGTGTGGTGGGCTGATCCCTGCCGGAACAACTGTAACTTGTGGTGGCAGATCGTCGTTGTCCAGAGCGACAGGCTCCGTCCAATTAACCAATGCTGTAGAATTTACATTGATGCTTGCGCGAATATCTGAAGGACAATTACTCTTGAACACTGGTGGGGTAACATCTATGAGAATATGTCAATACAAAAATACGTTAAGATTTCAGACGTACCATCTTCCTTGACGGATCATCATAGCCCAATCGTTTAACTATTATAGAAATCAGCTGACTTTTAAAAATGCAGTTCTCTAATAAGCTAAAGGCCGCATGTGTCTCTATCCACCCAAATAGAGACGGAAACGTTATAGATCTATGTAACATGTGTTTCTAAATAAATATAGTTGAATCTAAACATCCGCTGTGTGTTTTTGTTGTTGTTGCTGTTGTATATAGCTTTACTAGACTGGAATAAACTTCTAATGAATACTTTAAAAGTGAAATGTTTTAAAATAGATATAAATGTTTCTTTCAACAGGGAGCCCACTTCACATACATGTGGTTTTCAGTGGGGCCCTGCAAAAATAAAATTGCAAAAGCTAAAGAGATAGTAGATTAAAAATAATAATAACATTTAACCATTGTGCTAATAGAAATATAGAAAACAGTAAAAAAAAAAAAAAAAAAAAAAAAAAAATGAGAATTAAAAATTAAGAAAAACCCCTAATTCGACTTTTAAAATTAAAAATACTGATACTGTTCCTAACTTCATTGGGTAAAGTATTCCATTCATTAACTGCATTGTAAATAAAACGCTTTTGTCCCCAGGAGTGACGGGATGGAGGCCTAAAAATGCTGTCTTTACTTCTCGTATTATACCCATGAATATCTTTAAAACTACAAAAATTAAAATCCCAGTCTATTAAACCATTTAAGGCCTTAAAAATTAAAATCATGCGATGAAACCTTCTTCTTCTCTTCATGTTCTCCCAGCCGAGCTGTACGAGTGCCTCTGTAGCAGATGAATGCATTGACTTGTCGAGAACAATCCTCGCAGCTGTGTTTTGCAGTACTTGGATTTTATTCATCAGGATTACATTGTTTTTGTCTCCCCATGTAACATCCGCATAGTCTAATAACGGTATTATGGTCGTCTTA